GAGAAAGATATAACCAAATCCATTTTGGCATAAATACTTGTTTGTGCAACTTGTACCAGAATGACTTTAATTCTAACTCACTCAAATTTTCATCATTTTGCTTGATTCAATTTTTGGATATTGAAACTATAAGTATGAAAATATGCTCACCATCTATCAATGTATGGTATGCATTACATAATTTACAGTTGCCACATTAAATTTTGCCCAAGTCTTGATGAGATGTAATTCGGTTTCAGTCATAGCCATGTCAGATCTTCATTAAATCTCTTACAAATTGGTATAACGACAGGTATTTACATGCTTTACCATGCTATATAACCCATCTATTTTTCAGAGTAATAATGGTTGAGATAGATGGTTTATATTGGTACAATGAATTATACACAAAAAAACCAGTCTGGATTGGTCTGAACCAGTATCATGGACCGCAAAAGACCGGCCCTAGGTGGTTCGGTTCAGTTCCCTCAATATCTGGGTCAGTCCTGGACTGGTTGCGGTCCACAGTTGCGCGTTTTTGGGGCAAAAAACCGGACTGAACTGAACCTTTAAACACTACTTGGAGTTGACTTACAGGTGCTGATTGGGCCTCAAGTACTGATGGTGTCGGAAAGGCAACTGGGGGGGGACACCTGTACAAGGCTCAGCACCTAGCAACAAAATCAGCTGACCATCTCACTCATTATTTAGCAGTAAGTGTTGTAAGTATAAGATCATCCTCTATATCAGCTTAGTATCTCGGCATTGCCAAATAATTGTCCCTTGAGGCCTCACACGATGGCAGAGTGACAATGCTTGAGGTGTGATTTCCACATGACAGATCGGACATGCCATGGCACATATGACGAACATGCCATAGGAAATGCCACTTGTGTATGGTAGTGTAGACAGCTGTATTATCTAATACAGCCTTACAGTTGGGCCAAAGGAGATGTTACAACACATCCGAGTCGTGGTTGCCAGTTATGATCAAGTTTCTTCGATCTTGAAAGTTGGCGCATACATTCTGTCCCAATATGCGAAACGATGTTTCTCTGGCGCCGTAAAAGATGCTGTGTCGGCACTGTCGAGTTTATGCGTGAGAGGCTAAGTCACGTATTGCCGCGATAATAGGTCAAGAATACTTACTTCTCGATCGCCTGTAGATGTCCGTCGTTCTTGCGTGCATCGGACACGTGTATATATGCTCTTCACTGTCCCATACGTCGCAGGGATTGGTGTGTTCTGTAGACATCCCTCCGCTGTTGACCATATACATCGTCGTCGGTACGTTGGCTCTACAAAAGTATTTCAATGTAGTTTCATTTGATGACAACGTGTTGACTTACAATCCTCATGTAGACGTTTGCTTTTGTGTTTTGAAATCTTCCGAGAGTGTCAATGTGAACCTGCCAGAGTACGTCAATGTTACAATAGTCTGCAGAGGCGTACTGACGTACCTTTATCGTCCAGCGCGTGCTGGCTCCGTTTATGCATCCACAGCCCTGAACATCGCCGGTGCCCTTTCCAGCCTGGAGACAATGTATATGCATCCCCAAAACTGGCGCATGCAAGCCAGAACACTCCATGTGAAGTGCCGAGGGCTTGGAAACAACCGCGGTCGTCAGTGTCATGCATGATGCCCAAGGCGACGTAAGTACTCAATTCTTGTCACCCTCTCAATATATCACGACGCTCTCCCAGCTTCTCCATGTGAAACGTCGTCTATCCTCTCGTTGACTGCACTCCCGCGCCCTTCCGGTGGCGTTCTCGCGTTAGATATACATGTCGACTCTTCTTGTACGCGTTTTTGTTGTCTTGTTCATCTTCTCGCGTATCGTTTCGGTTTGTTGTAGGTAGTAGAACAAAATCTAATAGCTTTTATGAGTAGAAAACCTGTGTAAAAGATAGTGTGGTACTCACTGTCGCGTGAAACTTGGTTGTTGCTGGGCACGTTTGTACGTGCATCGTTGAATGTTAACTCGGAGGCGTTTCCAGCCTCGACACGACGTATATCCATCCGCAAAACCGGCGCATGAAGCCAGAACGCTCTATGCGAAGTGCGGAATACTTGGAAACAACCACAGCCGTCAGTGTTGTGCAAGATGAACAATGCGACGTAAGTACTCACCTTCTCGACCCATACCCCAGCCTTTAAATGTGAAAGCCCGCCTCGCCGTAGCGTAACCGCTCGTTGTTCGCACTCCTGCCGCCTGCGTCTTTCTGACGGCGCTTATGCGTTAGATCGCATGTCGACTCTTCGTGTACGCGTTTTCGTCGTGTTGTTCTTCCTTTTGAGTGTTGGTAGAATTCTCTATAATAGCTTTTGTTAGTAGAAAACTTGTGTAAAAGATAATATACGAACTGTCGCGTGAAGCTGCTGATCTGGGCACGTTCGCGTGTCGATGTTGACTCGGAGCGTTGGTTGTCGTAGTAACGTTTGGAAACAGAGAGCGATTTCGTCGTTGAATGCTTTGACGACGTCGTGGATGGAAGCAAGATCAAAATCAAGCTGTTTTTGTTGTCCAAGTTAACAGTGGCCGTCTGTGCACAACGTCGCAAAATGTTGTCTAGCGATGAGTACAATTACGATGCTTAACGTCGTACACAACTTGTGCCTCCATGGTAGGGTATATGCGCTCGTCGACGGTGAATCTATCTATGTCGCCACATCACATTCGCCTTTGCCTTCTTCCTCTCCCGCTCCAAAAGGGGACGTGGTATATCTGGTGCATCCACTGCTCGAATATCCCAGGCAGGTTCCCTACAAACAACAATCATCAATCCAAACCAGCGCATATACCCATGGTAAACGACTCACAATGCAAACAATCCGTCCCAGGCTCCGTATGTGCATCAGGCCTCTGCAAAGCCTGGTCCCAAACATCCATGAAAATCCACTTTACCCTGCCATTCCTTCCTCGCGAACCTTATCAAAGCTCGCAATCTTCCACTCCCAAAGTGCATTATGCACAGCAAACAAATCCCAATCCCACCTTTTCCTAAACGTCCGCCACTGCTCGTCCGGCATGGTTGAGATGAGCCGTTCGACGAGGTTGCGTTCGCCTATTTGCGCTGCTTCCGAGGAGCGGTAGGGGACGGTGAGGAGGTTGCAGTTTGGGTGGCCTGGGGAGGTTGCGCGGTAGATTACGGAGAGTTGGGTGATTGGGGAGAGGCGGGATATGACGAGGTTCATCTGGGAGGAGGGTAAGTAAGGGGGAAAGAGAGGGAGGGAGGGAACAAACCATTTGTTTGTATGTAGCTACTACGCGAGATTGTTCTTCTTCGTCGGATTTTCCAACTGGAAGCATTGACAGTTCGTGTCTTGACCACTACATAGCCGTCAGTACCTGCAGAAGAAAGAAAGATAAATGCTTACATGCGCACCCGTTTGCCACCATCGAAGCCACAAAGACCCGTCCGATTGCGCTGACCCGACTAACCCAAGTCAGTGGTGCTAGCGAGGCACTTAGGTGTGACGCGTGTTGGCCGGAGTGGTTGGAAACTCGACAGAGTTGGTGGAGCGCCCTCGTACTGAGCATATGCGCATGCACGTATTGCTCATCGTATCTGTCGTGTATGACAGTGGCGTGAAGTCGGTTGCACGAGGGATCGTGCTTTTATGGAAAGTTTGAGGCAAGTTTGAGGTCAGCAATCCCGAACTCGGAAGTACGAGGATGTCGTCACGTCACGGCGGTAAGGGTAAACTGAGATTGAGATTCGAGCAGCCAGAGAAGTGGAGGACGGGAAGTAGTCAAAGTAGACACACATTGCGTAGTGCTGAAAGCGAGTGCCATT